TCCAGTGAAATATATTTATGTTTGTGGTTGTAATGTGACAAAATATGGAAAAGTTCAAGGGGTATGAATACTTTTGCAAACCACTGTATATTAAAGACGAGTTTTGTACTTACTTAATTTTGTGATGTCACAAGCCGTACGACAACCCACCAGAACCTGCGTTCAGCCCCTTATCTAGCAACCCCCAGGTGAGACTCCACCTCAGTATAAAAAGCCGTCACCGTGTTGTTGTGTAATGTGCAGCTCATTTCACAACAAGCCTCAAATAGGGCAATGGGTAGAGTGTTGGACCAGAGAGCGGGAGACCAGGGTTTGAGACTGGCATGGACACAATTTAATTATCTATTTATTTTCGTTCGTTGTAAACACGTTTTCTCATGTACCTCTATTGTTTAGCTTATTAAAGCCTTGTTAAAGCCTATTTGTTCGAGTTTCTGAGGTATTTTGACCRCTGCTGCTCCCTGCTCTGGTAACAGCATGCAGAGTGAGCGCAGAGCAGAGGAGGGAGAGAAAAAAAAAGAAGCTGCGACCACGACTCTGCCTCTGGGTCTCACTCAGGGTACACAGTTGTACAACGGAGCTTCTGCTATTATTAGCCATGCTAACACTGGATTTGGAGGGTGGGGTTAACAGATTTTTGGAGGGCGTTACCAACAGAGCTCATTAACATAAACAGCTCTTCTGAACGGAAGTCAGAGCAGGCAGAACTAGAAAATAGGAAATTTTATTATCTGAGAATTATTTTGTGCATTAAATTGAATGAAAATGGTCTTGATAGCCCACAGACATACCATAAAAATTTCTAGGACCCATAATTGGTCTCCTTTAATTGTTTTTCCTTTTACTTGTACATGCTTTTGTTTGTCTTAAATGTTAATACTTAATTATTTTTATTTCTATGTGTTGCATACTTGTGCTGCCTCAGTTTAGCCAAAAGTTTAGTTTAAAGCAAAGGCCAGGAGGAAAACATTACCTGTGCATTTATTTTTAACTAAACTTTAAGCTAAACTGCGGCAGCACAAGCATGAAACACTTGGAAATAAAAAGACTTGTTGGACAAAATTATAAAAATAGTTCAATTTAAGCATTCAAGAGACACAAATGCATGTACAAGTAAAAGGAAAACTATGTAAAATATATATTAAAAAACATAAAAATTTTAATTTTAATTTCTAATTTAAATTTCTTACTATTTCTAACTTAATTAAATTATAAAACATGAGGTAAAGTTCTCCTTTTTAATTTATTTGGTGGATTTTAAATGTAATTATTTATTTAAAGGTTCATTTATCCATTTCTGCTTTTATTTCTAATTATGCCAGTGTTGGTCCTCCGTACTGCAGAACTTGGAAGAGGTAGTTCAGTGACTGAATCAGATGTGTTGGAGCAGGGAAAAATGTAAAATATGTGGCTGCGGCCCTCCAGGACCATGATTGTCCACCCCTGGTCTAGTTAGCCCAGGGCCAGGATTAAACTACAGGAAGTGGCTCGAGGTGAGCAGGACATAAACAGACTAGTCACCTCTCTGTTTCCTGAGAAGCAGTGGACTGCAGGAAGACCCTCCCCCCGCTGCAAATGGCAGGAAAACAGGAAGTAGAACCACGAGGTGTGAGAGAGAGAAAAGCAGCAGAAGCTAATGAAGACTTGCAGGAAACAAAGATAATTATATACAAACAAAAGGGGAATGAGTTAAAGAGCAAAGACAATGCCATGAATACTGACCAAAGCAGAAATCAGAGTGAAAACCTGACAGTTTGATTAGATTAGTATGTGTGCCGTTTGTGTGAAAACAGACTCACTGGAGCCTGCCAAGCAGTGGGTGAGCAGAGAAATATGTTACAGCCTTCATCGCTAAGCCCCAGAGGGATGACAAGCTTTAAACCACCTGTCCTAATTGATTTACAAGATTACCGATGAGCTCGAGGATGCTGCCGGAGCGAGCGCGGCTCTCCGTGTCCTGACGGAACACGGTGGCGTGTGGAATGCTGCCGGCTGTGATGAGCATGTGCAGGAGCTCCGGCGGAGGGGTCCGAAACATCTGCTGCAGCAGCTCCATGGCAGCCGTCACCACGTTGTGATCCCAGTGCTGTGTGTAGTTTAGGGTCAGCTCGTAAACCTTCAAACACATACAAATCATTCAACGTGCAGTCCAAATGCTTGGAAACCAAGAATCTGATGTGCATTCCAAGGTTATAATCGTTTTGGATTTTTCATTATAGTTTAGTTTTATTTCATAGTAACTTTTCTTATTTTAATTCAGTTAGTTTTAATTCGTTTCTACAGTGGATTTGATAGTTTTTATTAGTTATTATTGCATTTTTAATGCTTAGTTTTAGTTTAGTTTTTATTAGTTCTAGTATTTTTTTTATAGTTTGAATAAACATATTTGTCAATGCAACCTCCAGCTTGTGATGTTCCTGTGAGTTAACTAACCAGCAGCTATTTGGTCGCTAGTGAAAGCAGTCCATTATAGAGACACCTTCCTAAAATAATTGCGTAACTCAATTTTGCTAACTAAGGTCTTGGGAGATTATTTTAGGACAAAGACAATAGTTGTCTCCAACCTGCTGCTACCTGTTGCTTGTTTTTCATGGGAGCTACTGAGAAAGGCTAGCGTGTCAAGATAGTCATAGTTAGCATCTTGTGTGAGTTTGATTCATGCAGTTTTTCTCTTGAGAAGTTTTCCACCTGTTTTATCACCTGTTTCCACTACAAGACACTTGCTTTGATTTTTCTCAGTCATATTTAAAGAAATCCCAAAGTGGACTTTGCAGCTTTCTCCAAACTTTTACTGTCATCATTTAGCAGACGATGCTGAGCAGCAGATCGTAAACAAGTGTTGTTACAGACCACAGCTAATGTGAAACTACTCAATTAAAAAAATAAAAAATAAAAAAGATCCACATGGCTCAAAATAAATTGACAAACACTAAAACGAAGGATATTCTATCTATAATTTCAGTTAGTTTTAGTTTTGTAAAAACATTATATAGTTTTAGTTAGTTATCTTTTTTTTTTCATTTTATTAGTTTTTTTATTTTAGTTAACTAAAATGTTTTTTTCATGTTCGGTTTTCGTTATTTAGTTAGTTTTAGTGAACTATAATAACCCTGACGCATACGTTCACTCTCACCTGCAGCAGCTGCTCAGGTGTTGGCTGTACATCAGCCTCCTTCCGCATGACTCCAAAGCTTCCTTTGAGGCTGGAGGTGTTGACTTGGTGCTGCAGCAGAGGCATCAGGTAGCGAAGAGTTAACAACACCCCCAGGATTAGGTGGCTGGGGTGTTCATCGTCCACTGGAACCAGCAGGCCTGGGAAATGATAAATGAATTGTACTTCCTTGTTTTGGCTCGTGTTGTTGTTAAACCTGTCTTCAACATCAAATGACATTATTATGGTATTTCTGGTGATCACATGTATGGACTGTGACAGTGGGTCCTTCATGTAACCTACCCAGCAGCACATTAAGGAGCCAGGTGTAGAAGTAGCTCGTGCGTCTGGAGTGTTGGCACACGCTGACGGCCGAGCTGGCTGCTGTGCGTCGGATGGTGGGGGAGCTGGACTTCAAGTTGGCAACAAATGACTTCAGCAGCACCTTGAGGGAAAAAAAAAGTTCAAAGCCAAAAAATGAAACATTGCCTTCAGGCTGCACTAACACGGGTCAAGTTGTCCTCACAAACGACAGATCCCACAAAAAAATTAACTAAAAGAACAGAAGGGAAGGACGGAGTACCTTAACCTCGCCATCATTAGCAAAATGTCCCAAGGCTGCCATAATTTTGGGCATGGCTGCAGCCAGCGTCTCCTGCACCGTTTCCTCCTGCCGCTTGGTGATTCTGGTGAGGCACGGCAGCAGGTTGACCAGATAAGGCCTAAATCACGAGCAGGGAAAGACAGATGAGAGAAATAACTGTTGAAACATTGTCAGGTTGTGATGTTTTTATCTAGAACACATTTATTTAGCAAATTAGATTTAAAAATAGACATTTACCTGCATTTCTGAGGTCGGATAAGATGGGCGAGCTCAGCAAACCTCCACAAAGCTGCTCTTAAACTCCGCGAGGCACCGTTCTGTTGAGAGGTGCAAAACCATGATAAATACAAAATAAAAAATTTGAATCTTTAGTACTTCTAGTGTACTGCAAAAAGACAACTAAATATCGTATTTATTACCTTTTTAATCTCTTTGTACAGCTCCAGCTGCAGTCTAGGCAGGTTCGAGTCCATCAGCGCCTTCAGAACAAAGTCAAATAAACCTTATCAAAATGTGTCTGATGCTGACTAAAAACAAGGTTAACTTGAACATAAACACAACAAATCTACAACAACCAACCAACCAAGATAAAAATCCAGACAAAAATTGAAGGTAACAATTAAAAACTGAGTTCTAACTCACTTTGATGATTTTGTTGAGGCACTCGTCTGCGACCATCCGGACGTCCGATTCACTGTCATCACTGCAGAGAAGGAACATCTCCATGGCAATCCCAAGCAGCTTCTGAAACTCTGGAGATGTTCTGTTTCCAGGACCAATGAGATCAAAAGTTTGACATTTTTAGACATTAACACACATTTCCACTTAATTATATTTGCCATAAATTTATAAAACGACATCAAAACAGAGTTGTTTCACTTAACTATTTCAGAGTCCCCAAAAAAATAATAAACCGCCCGATCCTTTCAAGCACATGTGGCTAGTTTTCTGTAACATCTGTATGCTCAGTCAGTTTAACATCTCTGCAGCTTCACAGAAAAGCTCTGATTTTAGTTTGATGCACATATATTCACTTCATAACAATCTGTCATATTAATTACTGACAAGAGTATGTACAAATGCAAACGTCAGAAAACAAAAAACTTTGGTTGGAGAGTACTTGTTCTGCATCTCAAAATCTTTTCACTGTACAAGATTTAGGGTTTCATGCAAGTGATGACAATATACATAAAACTGGACAAATAAAAAACAGAAATAAGCTTTAGTTCAAGTATCGTGGCCTACCTCAGAGACTGAGCCACAATGTTTTCACATATTGTCAAGCAGTGGGTCACCCTGTCCTTCTTTGTTGCAGCTTGCTCTTTTTTCCTGTGGAAATATCAGGAGATGAAAATGTGAACGGCATGGAGAAAGATTAAAAAAGCAGCATTTAGGAAACTGAGTCTGCCAACGGCAGTGATTTTTTTAATAGTAACTCAAAATCAAAACATAGTTAAACACACACAAGTCAATTAAAAAAACGAATAGCCTGCCAGCAGAAAATAAACATAAATTAAAGTTATCAAAAGTAACTATCAAACAAGCTGTGAAACGTAAACATCTATGGCTTTATGAAGATGTATGGCTACATAAAAGTTATTTAGTATTTTAAGACTGAGGAAACACATCAACATGGTGCCATTACATCACTGGAATGAATGAGCCTGCCTACTACACCCTCCACAGGTCTGCTGCAACACAAATACACATAGAAAGAGACCTAAAATATATTGTTTAGATACTCAACACCTCGGTTAATTAAGAGTACCAGAGCAAATATGCTTTAAATTGGTCCTTTACACTGCTGTGAGTCTCAATGAAACGGGTTTGTCCAGCTAGCAATTTGGTTAACGTAGAGTTAAATCAGAAATACTTAAATAGCTGACAAATATAAGCTCAGCCGCGAGGGGTTTACTGGTATAACTAGCTTCAAGTTATCTCAAGACGCACTGACATCGCTACAAGCTGTGCTAAGCTAGCGGCTAATAGCCAAAATCTACTTACTGCTTTTGCACAAGCTCCTCTGCCGTCGGTGGTCCCTGCTGCTGCTGAAACGACTTCAGAGACTCAAAGGCCTTCATGAGTTTCTCCATTGTGGCCATTTTAACGATCTATAACGAGCAAGCCTTTCCCCGAGCAGCTAATATTTACTATCTGAGCTAACCAGCTAGCACAGTGGGGGGAAAGAGAGGTGCGTAGCGTGACGAGAGTGCTAACACACCGCTCGTGACAGCTACCACCCGCTCTCCGGTGTCTCCTCTTGCGATGCGTCGCTTATTCTTTCACAGTAGTGTTCCTAAACGAGACAGTTCTTGCTCGAAAATTTGCCATTTTAGATGCAGCAACAATCACACCAGGAAGAGGCATAATGTGACAGCTCGCGATGGAGGGGGAGGGGCGACAACCTAACCAATCAGAGTGCAACGTGGGGTTGATCGATGTAACACGGAGCCAATGGAGAATCACGTCTTATTTCCTCCCCTTTTTGTTGTTTCTGTCATGAAATGCAAAGTGCACGTTTTTCTTTCACTTTTGACTTTAACTAATTTCACATTAATTTAGCAACCAAAACTGCTTTTGTATTTTTTTAATTAAACCACAATGTATCATTAAAACCAAGCATTTAGTTCTCCCTATTTCTAAATGTCTCGGGGGGTAAAATAAAAACCACTACTGATGTTGCTCTTATTTTGAAATGCAACCTGGAGCTCTTGTTTAGGTCCAAACTATGCGAACATGCCAAAGTTATTGTATAATTGGGCTTTGATACTTTGATGTTAAATTTATAAGTAATAAACTCTACGATTTCATTGTTTGTGTGGACTAACAGACAGAAAACAGCAACAATGACAGATAAAACACATGTACACACAGCAATAGAAGTTAAAATGATATCCAAGTGAATGTGTTCACTGTTTTAATCTGACACCCAATTATCAAGACAAACAGGTAAATAAATGGTTAAACAACAGACTTGAGTTGGGGATTTTAAAATGTGATTTTTTTTGAGTCAACAGCACCACCTAGTGTTCAAAATATAGATTGTATGAAATTGGTGGGAAACTAAAAAAGCTGAACAGCACATTTGTAAAAAAAAATATTTTTTTTTGTTGATAAATAAAAGGAACATTCTTCTGCTGAAACTTTTTAATGTAATTCAGGTTTCAGGAGTTGTTACCCTATAATATGTTGTGTGAAAACTCAATCGACTGCGTTCTTTAGTTTAGTCCAGTTGTGTCTTTTGGTTTAAGCATAACAATTGGAATCACAGTTGCTGTTTTACCACTTTACCTAGCTCTGAGGTGGAGTTTGAGTTAATACTATAAGATACTCTGATCTCTTTGTTTTGGATGGTCCCTCTTCAGGAGAAATCCTTGTAGCATCACTGTTCCACCTGCGAGCCCTCTCATTCCTACACATCTACTCTGTTTTTCTGCTTTCAACATCTGAATAATATTCATGACAAAATCTACAAAAATTAATTGATTAATTAATTAATAAAAAAAAGAACCAGTTGTAAATTCAATTGGGTGTTTTGTGTGAAACGTCTTCTTGTATTTCTGCAGAATCACCAGCAGGGGGCAGCAGAAAATCAATTTCTGGGATATTTAAATTTGCTGGTTAGTTGTTCAAGACAAGCAGCTCCACAATAACACGAGTTATTTTCTACCTGATCAAGCTTATATGTTAAAAATGGTTTTATTGTACTTAATTTTGCACAACTTGACATAAAACATGTGACGGATGCAGTAATTTGATGTGTTGTGTGTCAGCAGTCAACAGGAAGTCCTGATCAAAGTTAGTGGCTTTGACCTTATAGGGTCACAGGTTCACATATACCTCCAGACACTCCTCTGATAGTTTTACCAGCCTTATAGCAAAAAATTATAAAAAATAAAAAAATTAAAAAATTAACCACTAACCAAAAGTATGTTTCTGACTCTGTCACCCGACACGTGAAACTCTACACCTTTTCAAAAGCTCGTCTTTGCACTAAATGTTGGCACCTTCTTCACCATCTCACAATGTGTGTAGCATGTGTTCCTGCAGACACGTAACTCTTGTCAGAAGCACTGCAAGTTCACAAGAGTCAGATGTGAAAAGCCCTGCGGGGACACCGGACTGTGAAGAGGGGAGGGAGAAAAATGTGTGTTATCTCTTTTCTGCAGACTGCACAACATGGCATATTGTGACAGCTCAGACCCATTGTTCATAAAATAAGAGGTCCGTATCAGGTGTCTGGGGTTGATAGCAGCCGGATGTGATTAGTGTTTCTTGAGTGAACATCAGCCAGCAGCACTTCTGTATGACACGAAAACAGAGGGAGAGGGAGAAAGTGTTAATGTTTGTTTGTGTTTACATTAAAATAAGGTATTTGAGTTTACCGCTGTTCAGAACTTTAAATCACCATTCGAGGAGCCAAACTGAGAGATGCATCAACCTTCAACTGTTTGTCAAAAATGTCAGCTCTCTGGGAATCATTGTTGGAGCTAAAATGTTATTTTATCTATCAAACTGTGCTTTCTTTGGTATTTAATGAGACAATCTCATCAAATATTTCCCCTGGGTACTCTGGTTTCCCCCCCACAGACCAAAACCATGCATGTTAGGAGAGCTGGTAAGTAAACTGTGAGTGAGAGTGTGAATAACTGTTTGTGTCATTTAATTCTATATGTGTCTCTGTGATGGACCCCCCAGCCTCTGGCACAGTGACTGCTGGAGTAAAGGGCCCGGGTCTTTGTGACCCAGAAAGTAAGAAGCAGGTAAAGTTATAGATCTCATGTGAGATCTGACTGGACGTGTTAGACCCACACATCAAACTCAAACTCAGTAAGACTTATTTCTTTTGTCGTTAATGTCGTTTAGCTGTGGTTACATCCAGTGAATATTTTCTAGGAGTTTCAGTAAAATCTACCCGGTGGTTCATTCAATAATTTGCCAAGAAACACAAAGAAACACACACGCCAGCGACAAAAAAAGATCAGCTTTTCCTTTCAGAGGCAGGGGATAAACAATAAAGCCTGGCTCCTTGGAAGCAAAATATAAAGAAGTGAGGGGTGACGCAGGACTTCTGCACAGTACTGGAAATGGGAACATTTTCCTCACAAGTCTTGTGTGGGAGACTGGGAAAGAACTTTCCTCCAAATTAGCAGGTTTTAAACCAAAATTGCTGCTTATTAAGCGACTTCACTATGAAGCTACTAGCTGCAACGTCATAAAAAACAGACAAAAGCAAATAAATTTAAATAGCAAAACAAAATCAGCACATTATTGTTCTCACACTGATGATTAATATGTTCATTTAAAGAACAACATCAGCAAAAATACCACCTGTGTTTGTTTAGAAATGACTTAAAATGATTATTAATGGGAAGTGGGCGGGGCAACATTTTTTACAATCTAAAAGGGCCATATACTCGTGTTGAGGATCTATCTATCTATCTATCTATCTATCTATCTATCTATCTATCTATCTATCTATCTATCTATCTATCTATCTATCTATCTATCTATCTATCT